TCATGACTCTGTCTCCTCACAAGGAACAACAGTAGTGAACACATTCAAGAACCTGTCTCCTCATAAGGAACACAAGTATTGAGTAGCACCATATCTTAGACTGTAAAAGTTGAGAAAAAGAAGTGAAAAATCGAAAATATCCAAAGGAAAAGATCAAGGGAAGAGAAAATAGGAGAGTTGTGTTGAGATCTATTTGTTCAGTTGTTAGGAAGGGAAAAGAATCTGTAAAGTGATTAAGATGATAGAACTTTGATGAGATATCACACTTAGATAAAAATAAGGATTTAGCAGTAGAAATTTCAGATTTCTTGAAGGGATTTGGACTGGACTTGAGAGATTTGCTAAGCTTGTGATGATTAGACTAAAATTTGATCTTGTGTTGACTATGTGGTATGTGGATTCGAAAACTCTAACTAGTGTGGTGTTCCTGATGACTGACTGACTGTTTCTTGTTTTCAAACCTCGACCCTGTACTCTATCTGATGTTTGCTTGAGGGCAAGCAAAAGCTAAGTCTGGGGGAGTTGATATATCATGGTTTTTATGGTTTTTAACCATGATATAAGTTCTTTTTATTGAGTCTTTTTGGTCTTTTTAGAGTCCTAGAAGAGTCTTTGCAGGTTATATCATGTCTGGAGCATGATTGGAGATTTTGGAACCTTTTGGAGCATTCTGAGTTGAAGCCACGAAGTACCAAGCTCGAAGCAGAAAGTATCACATATGGTGACGCTCGTCACCACTTTTGGTGACACTCGTCACCCAGAAAGGAAGGGGTCGTGGCCTGTTTTAAAAAGATTGGGAAGAAATTGCAGTTTGGCCCAGAAGTTCTAATTTTTGCAAAAATGCCCCAGATCGTGTTTTAGCTTGTATATTAGGTTTTTAAGCCATTCTTTTGGCAGATATCTTGTATCTTATTATTTTTGAGAGCTTTATAGAGAGATTTGTAGCAGAGCTTTTGGAGAGACAAATCAGACTCCTTCAGAGCAGATTTTGAACTCTTTTATTTCTACTTCTTATTTCTTTTATGCAATCTATTCTTTTCATGATGTTTTCTCAAATCACGATGTCTGAGTAGTTTTTTAGTTAAGTTAGGGCTTTTTCAAGGGTTAAAGAAGAGTTTGTAGAATTGCTAAAAACTTTTAGGAAATTCATTGGTTCTTCATCTGTGCTTGCATTCATATCGATTTCTTAGACACATCATCTGGATTTCGAAACCCTAGGTTGTTTGATAGATGTGAGAGCATTATTAATCACCTGAACTAGTATTAGATGAGCAAAACGCCCTAGTTCAAAGAGATTTGGCTTAGGAGTTTTGTGAACAATTGAACCTGATCTTTACTACATGTTTAGGTTGTTAGGGTTTGCAAAGAGATTTGAAACTCTGTGATTTAGACATAGATAACTTCTGCAATGAGAATTGATTAGTTATATCTTTGTGATTCATATTCAAGACGGTTTTAATTCGTTCCTGATTGCATGCATTCCACACTCTCGGATTCAACCTGCGAACTGTCCTGACTTAGCGCCTTTAGCCTTTTGAACTTTAAGAACAAGCATAAAAACGCCCTCTTGCATTTATTTTACTGTTTTGCATTACATTCATTATTTATCGCTTAGCTTAATCTGAATCTATAATCGCTAGTGTGGTTTACATACTCCCTTGGGGATTCGATAACCCCTTGTACTACAACTGCTTTTGTTGTGCACTTGCAGTAGTTTTATTTGGGTAAAACCTGACCTTATCACAGAGCCAAAGAATACCTATATTTTTCTCTTCGCCGCCACCTTTCTTTTTCAAATCTAACGCTTCATCATCTCTAACATGTCAAACCCAACATCACCAGCTTCATCCAATGAAACCATTACTGTTTCCGAGACCACTACTCTCCTCATTGTTAACATGACAAACATAACGAAGCTTACCTCTTCCAACTTCATTATGTGGAACCGACAGGTCCACGCCCTTCTTGATGGATATGATCTCGCTGGCTATGTTGAAGGTTCGATCATTATTCATGCAGCCACAATCACTACACCTGCTGGTGTTATACTGAATCCTACTTACAATCTCTCGAAGAGACAGGATAAACTGATTTACAGTGCTCTTCTTGGAGCGATCTCCACAAATTTGCAGCCCCTTCTGTCCACAACAACAACGGCTGCTGAGATCTTGAGTACCCTTACATCAACCTATGCCAAACCAAGTTGTGGCCACATCAAGCAACTGCTACAACAACTCAAACAATTGACAAAGGGCAGTAAGTCGATTAATGAGTATTACTAAGGTCTCACTACTCGTTTCGACCAACTTGCTCTCCTAGGCAAAGCTCTCGATCATGAAGATCAACTCGAACATATCCTAGAGGGACTCCCTGAAGATTACAAGACAGTCATAGACCAGATTGAGGGATGTGACACGCCTCATACCCTCACTGAAGTCCACAAAAAACTCATCAACCATGAGTTGAAACTTCAGTCATCATCCACCCAGCTCTCTTCCGCTCCTATGTCTGCACACAACATGCAATACAAAGGCCATAATAAAACAACAGTAATCATCATCAACGCACAAGTCATGGAGGCTATCAGGATAAACCGACTTGGCAACAACAACAGTTTACACCGAGACAGAATCAGAACTCACCTCGAGGCTACAAAGGTCGCTGTCAGATCTGCGGAATCCATGGGCATAGTGCTCGCTGCTGCTCACAGCTTCATATCCCTGCTGGATTACCCTCTCATACAATACAATCGATGAATGCACCATCAACATGGCAGCCTAGAGCAAATCATGTTGCTGCATCCTCGTTTAATCTGAACTCATGGCTCCTCGATAGCGGTGCTACTCATCACCTTACATCTGATCTAAACAACCTTTCTCTTCATCATCCATACAATAGTGGTGAAGAAGTTGCAATTGCTGATGGCTAGGGTCTACAGATCTCACACATGGGTTCAGCTTCTCTCCCTACTCCATCTCGTTCACTTCTTCTTCGAGATGTCTTAAGTGTTCCTAATGTTCACAAAAAATTGATATCTGTCTATTGTCAATGCAATGATAATCAAGTGTCGGTTGAATTCTTTTCTGCCCATTTTCAGGTGAAGGATCTCACAACGGGGGTCCGGTTACTCCAAGGACGAACGAAGGATGACTTGTATGAGTGGCCAGCATTCTTATCTTCCCCATCCGCTTCTTTTGCTTCCCTGGACACCAAAACTACCTTCTCACAATGGCACAATCGCTTGGGCCATCCCTCTTTGTCTACTCTCAAATCAGTTGTTTCCAAGTTTTCTTTACCTTGCTTAAACAGTACTTCAAGTCTTTCTTCTTGCAACGATTGTCTTCTTAATAAAATACACAAACTTCCCTTTTCACCAAAGCTCAATCGTCACATCCAAACCTTTGGAATATCTATTCACTGATGTCTGACAATCTCCTGTCTTATCCACTCAAAACTTCAAATACTACCTCCTGATTGTGGATCATTACACAAGATATACATGGCTTTTTCCTCTTACTGCCAAATCCCAAGTCAAAATCATCTTCATACAGTTTCGGGCTCTTGTTGAAAACCGTTTTCAAACACATATCCAAACTCTATACTTTGATAATGGAGGAGAGTTCCTGGCTCTTCGCCAATTTCTGTACTTTGAAATTGTTTTCAGAAAATTGAGGGAAGTCAAACGAAAGAGGAGAAGATCCTAAAGAAAACTAAAGCAAGAGAAGTGGATGATAAAATATAATTTTGACACTATCAATAGGTTTGCCAGTTGAGTCTAGAGATCTAAATTTTGTTGAACAACTGAATCTTCCTGTTAATAATCTTGCTAGTTCAATAAACAAAGAATGTACTTTTCTCACAAGAAATACTTACGGATTTGCTCATCTCCTATGTCAGCAATGTGTTAAAGGTATTGTATATTCTCAAATTTTTGTGTTCTTGCTGATTGTTTCATTTCTTGTCGACAAGGTATCTTGAAGGAAAACTCGGTTCGGGTAACATTAAGTGCCCTTTAGAACATCGTGAGATAATGACGTGTTCGTCCATTTTCTTTAATTTTGTGTCACGTCGGTTCAAAAATTCTTAGGATCCTTTTAGAGTAACGTGTTGTCAAATAATTTCTCAAAAACATCGCATGGCATGGTGAATTTGCAGAAAAATAAATAAATGGCTACGATAGTTGTATCAGAGGTGTACTACACTGATTTACAGATTTTGAAGAAATTACTGGCAAACACACACACACAAAAACCAACACCTTAGTCTCTAACATTTACTGTGTTATTAGAAGTAAATTAAGATAATTCAAAATTTAACAAGCTATTAATTTTTTCTCCAGACTCCATGTACTTTGATCAATGTTTTCACCAAAAGAACAACTATAATTAGGGAGACAAAACACTAAGTAATAGTTAATGTTTCTTCTAATTGATAGAAAAGATTAGATGTAGTATAAGATGGGAATAATTTAAGACAGAAAGCCATATTATTAGGGAAGTTCACGTGAAGGGACAGCTCTTAAACCAGCCAAACACAGGATACTTAATCGACATTCTCATTCTCACAAACAAAAATCATGGGACCAACCTAAACGTTAAAAACTGATTATGTGGCTGTAAATATAAAAATCTCATAAACTATTCATATGAATAAGGTTGTGATTAGACAACAGTCTTACTTTTGTCTCTTCCTCTAAATGATTAAGCTGACCCTTGAGCCACTCAAAAACAGGTATGTCTATTCACCTCCTAATGTGAGATCTAAACAAAAATTATCTCTTAGTTTTTTGTAACTTGTGACTGTAGAGAATTGATTAGTAATATGAAGAGAAGACTTATAAATATAGTTATAGAGTATATAGGTTATAGAGAGGAATGGGTCCATGTGAAAAAAAACAAAGAAAGCCCACACCATTTATTGGTAAATGGATGAGAATATAGTGTTGTAGTTTTCCATGTCCTTAAACCTAATCTTCTAACACTATTTCCACCTTCCTTTCTGACATCTCCCATCATCACTCACCTCTTAATTTATTCCATTTACCACCAAATTTTTAATTTAACTAATTTTTACTGTAGTGTTACACATGTGAGAGCAAAGAAAGCTAGAGAAATTACTGTTGTGGGATGCTTTTCTTGGTGGCCTTATATAAATATGGTAGAGTGGTACTAGTAGTGGAGCTTCTTCACTAACAATTATGACTTCTCTTCTCTTCATTGAATGAAGAAGAGCCTCTCTACATCAAGAGAACACATATTCTAGTGAGACAAAGAGAGAGAGAGAGAGATATTCTCTTCCATTAACATTCTTACTTACACATGTTATAATAAGAAGAGGAAGGAGAAGTATCCACAGGACTAGACATGGGTGGATGCACAAGCAAGCAAGAGAGAAGAAGCATGAGACGTGTCAAGGAGACTTCGACTGAAAAAAGCAGAGGAAGAAGACACATGAGAAGAGAGATGGATGAGAGAGAGAGAGTGATGTTTAATCAACTTAGAGAGGCGGAGAGGGAGTGGAGGAAAGAGAGGAAGAAGCTTAGAGAGGAAGTGAAGAGGCTAAGGAAGAAAGTGGAGGAGAGAGAGGAAGCAAAGACAACGACAACAGAGGAGAGAGAGTACTGGAAGTGGGTTGTTGAGGAGATGTGTGTGGAGAGAGCAGTGAGAGATGAAGCCGTTGAGAAATGGAAACAACTCTATTTAGCTATCAAGAATGAGCTTGATCATCTCATCATCCACACAACTTCTTCCTCTGGTAAAAAAAATCAACTTAAATTAATTTTCAGTTCTTGATTCTTGATAAAGTATGAATCTTTGAAGTGGGTTTTTGTAGGAGAGGCAATAATGCAAAGGAAACTTGAGCAAGAAGAAGAAGAAGTAATTAAGACAGTGGAAGAATTGAGAGATGAAGTTAGAGTTAAGGAAGATACAATTGAGGCACTAAAGGAGAAAATAGCTTTGATGGATAGACAAAAGTATGAGAAGGAAAGACAAATTGATTTACTGAGACAGAGTCTAAGGATTCTCGGAAGCAAGAAGAATAAGAAGAAGAAAGGAACATCGTTTGCATCAATGAATCTGCTGATTTTGAAGACCAAATGTGTGGAATGTACATAAACACTTATAGTCAAATATTCTTCTGCAACAATGATGATATCTCACTCATCAAAGAATCTTTGATCCACAATGTCATATCATTTCTCTTTTTTGTTTGTTTACCTTTTTTTATATTGGAAATATCAAACTATAGCACTATGATTTAAAAAATAGCACATAACGACACAAAAAGATGATCATAAATAATTTATTTTGTTTATGTAAGATACTCACTCCTGATACAATTATCCAGCAATGATGATCATGAAGGCATGAAACCATTTCTTTTGCATATAAAGCACCTTTGCTTGTTCTTAACTGCTCATGCCAAAAAAATATTGAAATAATTATGTATTGTTGTTGTTTCTTAGTGATAAACTAAAAAGAATGTCAAAGTTAATTCGATTTTAATCGGTTCAATAAATTTCAGTTACAGTGTTGGCCATAATTGGCTTTTCTTAATACAAATTTTTATCTAATTTGGTACGAATGATATAAACCGGTTCGAACACTCGAATTAACCGATCTTCATTTTCCCGGTTATAACAAACGTCGGCGTTTTGAAAAACCACCAAAAAACCCTACTTTCTGACTTTTGTCGTTTATCTGAATTTTGACCAAACCTCTTCTTCTCACTCTCTTCTTCACCAACCATTTCCACTGTAAACGTCTCTCTCTCTCTCTCTCTCGCAGACTTCACCATTGCAAACGTGCTTCCACACAGCGCGCCGCATAAAACCTTACTCTCGTTTCTCTAAACCCATTTGATCAATCTCATCCACGCGCCGCAATGCACGCCACAATCCTCTCACCACGCGCCACTCTCTTCCCCTGTAAACCTCTCTTCCCTTCCCACAATGTCCGCTCCAGCGACCAATCTCGCCGCCGAACAACCGTCTCCTGCTCCGTCCAACCCGTAACCGCCGATCCCTCCCCTCCCCTCACGGATTCCAACAAGCTCAACAAGTACAGCTCCAGAATCACCGAGCCCAAATCCCAAGGCGGCTCACAAGCGATCCTACACGGCGTGGGCTTGTCCGACGACGATTTGCTGAAACCCCAGATCGGGATTTCGTCGGTATGGTACGAAGGCAACACCTGCAACATGCATTTGCTTCAATTGTCAGAGGCGGTGAAAGAAGGAGTGCAGAAAGCTGGGATGGTAGGGTTTAGATTCAATACGATTGGTGTGAGTGATGCTATCTCCATGGGAACGAGAGGGATGTGTTTCAGCTTGCAATCTAGGGATTTGATTGCTGATAGTATTGAGACTGTGATGAGTGCTCAGTGGTATGATGGCAACATCTCTATTCCTGGTTGTGATAAAAATGTGAGCTTTTTTTGTTCTTTCTTCTTCCCCCAATCATCATCTCTCTTGTGTTGTTGATTGTGTTGTATCTCAGCTTCATGTGACTTAATGTGATGTTTTCAGATGCCTGGAACAATTATGGCCATGGGAAGGCTTAACAGACCAGGGATTATGGTTTATGGTGGAACCATCAAGGTACTCTTTTTTTTTCTGCATTTCACTAATCCCTAAACCCCCTTGTGACTACTTGGATCCATTTATTCACCCTTGTGGCTTTGATTCTAATGCAGCCTGGCCATTTTCAAGAGAAGACATATGACATTGTATCTGCTTTCCAGGTGTCTCTTTGTTTCTATTTGTAATGTTGTTACTTTATGATATGTTAAGCTATTCTGTACTTATGTGTATCTTCATGTTTTTTTTCAAATTTGATGTGTTTCAGTGCTATGGAGAATTTGTTAGTGGCTCCATAAGTGATGAACAGAGAAAGACTGTCCTTCATAACGCATGTCCTGGAGCTGGAGCGTGTGGTGGCATGTACACAGCTAACACAATGGCTTCTGCGATTGAAGCTATGGGAATGTGCCTTCCTTACAGGTTAGGCTTTCAACACTAACGAGTAAAGACACACACATTCTCCCAGATTTATGCTTAATAGGAAATATTAATCTGCATTTGCGTTATGCTTGTTTCAAAAGTTTATACATTTACTAGAATTTTGATGCAGTTCCTTCTTTTTTCTTTGAAGCTCTTCGATACCCGCTGAAGACCCATTGAAACTGGACGAGTGCCGGTTAGCCGGAAAATATCTTCTAGAATTGATAAAGATGGACTTGAAGCCTCGTGACATCATCACTCCTAAATCGCTTCGTAATGCAATGGTGTCTGTCATGGCTCTCGGAGGATCGACCAACGCTGTGTTGCATCTAATTGCTATTGCGAGGTAACGTGTTGAATATGCTTTGCTTATTGTTGTTATCATGATGGAGAACAATAAACTGAGGTAATAAACGAAGATCATTCCAGGTCTGTTGGTTTGGAGTTGACCCTTGACGATTTCCAGAAAGTCAGCGACGCCATTCCGTTTCTAGCTGACCTTAAACCCAGTGGGAAGTATGTTATGGAAGATATTCATAAGGTACGAACTTAATATCGTTTTGCTTATTAGTTACATATGTTTTCTATTGATTCATTTTGTAACTTTTGTTGATGTTTTGATCTACAGATAGGTGGTACACCAGCTGTTCTTCGATATCTACTAGAGGCTGGATTTTTGGATGGGGATTGTATCACAGGTATATAAATTACTCAAACTTTTTTATGAACTCGTATCAACGTTTTCGGTTGATGTGATATTGCTTGTAGAACTGATTGCATAACTATTCTTTTGCGTCTCTTATCAGTCACTGGACAGACTTTGGCTCAAAATCTAGAAAACGTCCCTCGCTTACCAGAAGGCCAGGTCGGTATATTTGTTGTAATGTTTTTTAGTTATCTCAATCAGAAATCTTGATTTTGATGGATGTTATTTTATACATTTGTCTAAGTAACGTTATAACAATGTTCCAGGATATCATTAGACCTGTTTCAAACCCAATCAAGGAGACAGGACACATCCAAATCTTGAGAGGAGACATTGCACCAGAGGGTTCTGTAGCAAAAATAACAGGCAAAGAAGGCTTATATTTCTCTGGTAATGCTGGTTCCTTCTTTACACTCCACATTCTAGTTAAATACATCTCAATTTTAGGGCTTTTTGTAATGGATCTATATTTGTTTTAGGTCCCGCACTTGTATTTGAAGGAGAGGAATCTATGTTGGCTGCTATATCAGCAGATCCCGCGAGTTTTAAGGTAATTGCGTTTCTTGTTATGAAGTTTCATCTCAAGAAGCTTGTTATATCTACCATCTGCTGAGATGTATCGTTGTTACAGGGAACAGTGGTTGTTATCAGAGGAGAAGGTCCTAAAGGAGGTCCAGGCATGCCTGAGATGTTGACACCAACAAGTGCAATAATGGGAGCTGGGCTTGGAAAGGTATTAAACCAATATGACTTGGTCTGAAGTTAAATACTTTTGCTTTTCCTTTGTTTACGAACTGACTAACTGAGTCATGCTATTGGTTTCTGCAGGAATGTGCATTACTGACTGATGGTAGATTCTCCGGTGGGTCACACGGTTTTGTTGTTGGCCACATCTGTCCTGAAGCTCAGGTCTCTCTCTCTCTCTCTCTTTCTCTCATTTTGTAATCTTCCGAAATACTAATGTGAGTTTGAGAATGTGAAGGCAGTAATGTTGAAAGCTTACCTCGTGTGTTATATTTGCAGGAGGGTGGTCCAATCGGTTTGATAGAGAATGGAGACATAATCACAATCGACATAGGAAAGAAGAGAATAGACACACGAGTCTCGCCCGAAGAGATGAACGAGCGTAGAAAGAGATGGACTGCTCCTGCGTACAAGGTTAACCGCGGAGTTCTATACAAGGTATTTAATGATATCATCACTAACTTGTATGTATGTAATGTAATGTAATGTAACTCTCTTTGTTGTTTGTATGATGAGTTGCTGAAACAATGGTTTTTGATGTATATATTCTAAAAACAGTACATCAAGAACGTGCAATCGGCTTCAGCTGGATGTGTGACTGATGAGTAAGCGAGAGATTTCAGAGTGGTTTTGTGAATGAGCAGCAAAAAGCAGTGTTCATGAGGGGAATTATATCGTCTTCGTTAGTATTATTGTTAGCTTTTGGATCATTTTTCTCTGTTTTAAAAGATTTTGTTTCTTCTTTTGTCAAAATAAGAACTTTTGATTGTGGTGTTTTAAATAAAGACAGATTTGCTGAAAGACGAAAGAGAAACCTATGTACAGCCATTGAAACCATACCATGATGAGTTTTACTACTCTGATGAATATGGCGAGAACTTAAAAGTTTGGATCGGTTTAGTGAAACATTCAAAGAGTGAGAGTGTGGCCTTACACTACAAACGCAAACAAAAATTTCAGAACTGTTAACACTTTATTTGCTTTTAAAAATATGTTCACAGAGATTATTATAATTAGTCTTTGAAAGATGATGATGATGATAATGTCGTCTTCTGAGCAAGATCGATGTCAGAACTCGTCAGAGCTCCAGATTCATCATGATCGAGTTTCTCAAACTCTTCCATAATCCTAATCATATCTTCCTGATCAATCTTCTCCATTTGTTTCAGTCTATATACAAGAAACTCTGCAGCTCTGCAACACACAAAAAGACAATGAATGATACGAAGAAGAAGAAGAAGAAGAAGACAAAATGAAATGGAAGAGAGAATGTGTCTGATGCCTCACCCGACCACTCCATCTCCATCTAGATCAGCTGCTTCCAGATCATTCTTTGTGAATAATGGTGAAGCAGAGCTTCATATGAAACCAATAGCAAGATTCAGTTTACTAAGACAATATGTTCATATAAGTATACACTCTGGCATCAAGAAACAATCAAAGAGTGTTCAATTATTTGCTTCAACTAGGCTTTTAACTCACGCTATGCGCGAATCTGTATAAATAATTTGGTTTAATTTTTTAGCTAATATTTTTTAAATTATAAATACTATAATATATTTATAGAAATTTTCTTTTATATAAAAAAATTAAAACATAATATGTAGTATTTCCTATTTTGTTTATAAAATTATAAATCTTATTAAGTAAAATCATAGTAATGACACCTAACGAATTATCCAACTTCGATGTACATATTTGATTTAGAAAATAATTTTCTTACTAAACTTTTGGTGTTTTGTTTTGTATCCTTAGGATTTCTATGGTTCTTTTTTTTTAAAGGTTTATATGTTTAAATATTTAGTTTCTTTACTAAATGTCTCACTAATATTGTGTACATATACATATATAATATATGATATATGTTGATTCAGAATTACTTTTGTTAGTAAGCTACATTAATCGTGTAAAGCTGTTTTTTGCTTCTCCACCAGATCTTCTATGAATTTTAGGTTATAACTCTTTTCAGTTTATAAGATCTGTTTTATTTGCAGTCAACTATTTGCTAATATTTGTTTTTAAACATGTAAGATGATGTTGAGACTTCACATTATCACTGTTTTTTTTTATATCTTTTGTGTGTTTATAAATGTTTTGATTTGAATATTTTATCTTCATATATTCCTATTTGAATTTGATTTATAACTTTGTCATATTATATTATTTAAATAAAAATTTTAGAGGATGTTGCTCATGTGTTGTTCATGTTGACTAAGTTATAAGCAGTAAATATGTATACAAATCAGACTTTATTACTTATTATATTTTAAATTTAAAATTACTTGTGTAGTATTTTACTTTGTTAATTTTTCAACCTGATGCAACCAAGGTATTAATTTTTGTAAAATTAAATAATATATGTGATTTAGAAACTTGTATAACCTATTAAAACTTTATATGGTTATTCATAGTCAACACCAATATTTTAGAAATCATGAATGTTTTTGGAACTATATTTCAAACTAATTTTCTTCTTAGATCTTGTTTTTTGTTATTTTAAATACCTTCGATGGTAATTTTTTATTTTATTTTAATTATCTAATTTTCTGCAGGTTTGATATACTTAAAACATATATATTTTTAATTAATCTCTATTGTTATTGATTTTTCAAATATATAGCATATATATTAATCGAATATCTTTTACATAAATGTTTTTTCTTTGTTAAATTTACTTTTTAAATTAAATAAAATACTATAACTGGTTATTCTAAATTTTAAGTGAACTTCTCTCAAAAGCTTATACCATCATTTGCTTTTTTAGTTAATATTTGTTTGGTAGTTAGCCTAAATATCAAGCTAATTATACTTTATACGACTTTTTCTTTTGATAATTGACCTCTTTTGATATTAATTTTTATTTTATTTTAACACACCATTGTTTTTAAAATATTGATATTTTGAAGACATAAATTTTTTGTTAGTTAAGTATTTTTATATGAATTTTTTTAAGTAGTTAGTCAGATATAAGACAATATATTTTTAAGTGTTTTTTTTAAAGATAATATTTTGTAAAACTTAATTTTTATTTTAGTTTTTTAGTTAATTAATTTCTTAATATTGATTTCTTAAATAATTAGCTTAAATATTTACATTATTTTTGTTAGTTAAGTTTTTTAGTATTATTTAAGTTTTTATATTCTCTTACTTATTCTGTTTATATTGATTTTTTTAAATAAATAACATAGATATTAAGTTAATATCCTTTTTATTTTGTTAATTTAACTTTCTCGATATGGACTTTCATTTTAATTATATTGACATGTTGTAAGAAATAATTTATGTTTTGGTTTTGTTAGTTAAACATTTTTTTATATTGCTTTCTTCAGTAATTATCATAAATTATCATTTTTGATTTGTTAAAATTTTTGTGTTATTTTTTTAAATATTTCCCCCAAAATTATTAGTTTTAGATGACTTTCTTTTTTGATAATTTAAGATGACTATTTTTTTGGTAGTATTGATATTTTTAAATAATAATTTTATATGTCTATATGAAAATTTAATCTTAATATTTTTTTTCTAAATAAATTACTCATTTAAAATATATATGCTAATTTTTTTTTTTAATTTAAATGTTTCGTTATTGATTTACATATTTGTTTTTGTTAGTTTAGTTTTTGTGACAATGAGTTTCTATTTTATTTTCACAATATATTTAGACTTTTGACATCAATTTATTTTAATTAGCTAATAAATTATCTTAATTTTCTATTCTATTGTTATAATTTTATATTTTTGTATGTTTTAATTTATCTAAATTATTAATAATATTTTTTATTTTTTATGTTTAATGAAATACGCTGATATAGACTAATCAGATTGAGTATATATTTCATATGTGGACGCTCTCATTGGCATAAGACATCAACACGGACCACAACTAATATATTTTAAGTTAGCAGTTCAGATTTTAATTGTTTGTCGTGATTAAAATTTTAAAATAATTTAATTATAGTTTTAAATACAATTTTTAATAATTTTGTTTAATATATATGATTTTTCTTTCATAATCTATTTATATGTTAATTTACCTTTTCATTGTTAATAGAAAAATAAGATCTATTTTCAAAAATCTTTTTATTAATAACTAACTTAAAATTTAAAAATTTTCTTAATAACAACAAAAAACAAAATTAATTAAAATTTAGAAATTTTTCATATAACAATGAAAACGAATTAATTAATTTTAATATACAATATATAATTAACTAAAAATAATGATGTTGTGTACTAATAAAATTGAATCTTTAAATCCTATATGAACATCAACTTTTATTAGTAATAGATGTGTTCTCCGAAAGATGATGATAATGATAGTAATGAATGTTTTACCTTTGGATCTGAGCAAGATCAATGTCAGAATTTGTGAGAGTTCGGGATTCATCATAATCGAGCTGCTGAAACTCTTTTGTTATCCCAATAATATCTTTCTGATCAATCTTATCCATTTGTTTCAGTCTATATACAATAAACTCTGCAACTCTTCAACACAAAAGAAGAAAAATAAGAAGAAGAAGAAGAAGAAGGAAGCATAAGGGAGAATATGTCTGATGTCTCACCCAACGACTCCATCTCCATCGATATCAGCAGCTACGAGATCACTCCTTGTGAATAATGGAGAACCAGAAGAGCTTCATATCAGATCAATGGCATCAAGAAACAGTCAAAGAGTGAGAGTGTGGCCTTACATCTGAAAGCACAAAAATTTCTAATAGTGATTGCTTACCTGATCTGTGAAGTCGTCTGAGCTAAAACGATGTCAGAAGTCGTCAGAGTTCCAGATTCATCGTCATCGAGCTGCTCAAACTCTTCCATTATCCCATCAACATCTTTCTCATCAATCTTCCCCATCTCTTTCAGTTTATATACAACAAACTCTGCAGCTCTGCAACACACAGCAAAGAACACAAAGATAAGAAGAAGTCAACAAATCAAGAAAGAAACAAAGACAAAAAGAAGCCAAGACTCAAGAAAGAAACAAAGACAAGAAGTAGTCAAGAATCAAGAAAGAAACAAAGACAAGAAAAAGCCAAGAATCAAGAAGAAGATGGAAACGGAAGAGAGAAATATGTCTGATGCCTCTCACCCAACGATTCCATCTTCATCGAGATCAGCTGCTTCAAGATCATTGTTTGTGATTCTCCGTGTTAAAACCCATTTCACTAACGCCCTCTGTTTGGTATCTGCTCTTAGCTCAACCACATAGAGGAAAAACTGAGCCAAACATATAGTGCTCGTCAAGATCCAAAACACAGCGAAAAGCCGCCCTGTCCCCGAGCTAAAGCTCTTATCGCCGTAACCCAACGTCGTAACCGTGGAACACACGCAATAGAAAGCTTGAAGAACCGGCATTTTCTCAACCGTCACAAGGAAGAACGTACCGACAAGGAAGAGGAACACAAGGACAAAGAATGTCACATAGCATTTGCGCCTCAACTTGTTAGTACGCAACTCCTTGAGAATATCTGTTGGACCAAAGATTTGGCGCAAATGAAAAGCCCTAACAAGCAAACTCTCTTGCTTCTCCACTAGATAATCAGCTGCTCTGCTTAAAAGGTGACCCACGAGGACCATCCCCGAGAAGACAAAGGCACAAGCGAGTAGCCTTGAGGTGTAACTATTAGGGACAAGGTCACCATATCCAACGGTTGTCATCGTCACTATACAGAAATAGACGGCATCTAAGACACCGTTGGTCTTATGACCGGAGATCTGGTTTCTCACGAGGTAGAAACAGAGAGTACCAATGGTTAGGTATAAACCCAAGAACATGATCACTCGTTTGAGACTCGGGTTTAGATCGTTGAAGACTGGGATGTTACTTGGACTAGAAGGTGGTTCATCGATTTTGGTATCATTATTGTACACACAATCACCATCACGAGGAGCGCTTCTACAGCGACGCAATCTTCTTTTTCTTGAAGATGTTCTTGAGTTTTGGTTGAAATCTTGATCCGTGGGATTTACCTGATCTTTAGGTAACAATGGCTTATGAGAACTCGACATTCTATAATCAAATTTAAACTATGAGATTTGCAGTGATTTCTGAGATCTGCAGATCAAGCAGACACGGAACCCAGATTTTCAGAGTGTCAGAAACTGACCAAAAAAACTGAGGATTTCGAAAAGAGTCTTCTTAGTGGTTAGCAACAGAATCTGAGTTACGGCTACAGAATACAGATTAAGACCAAAAACAATTAAAAAAAAAAAGACAAGTTGTTGGGAGGAAGACAGTATTCAGACACAGAATCCAAAACTTGAGGAAGATAAAGAACTGAGACTGACCCAGAATTGGAAAAATTAATATTGGAAATGGATAAGCTTTGTTCTTGGATCTCTTAGTCGTTCTTCATTGAAGCTATTAACAGTTGGACAAATTCTCTTCAAATGCTTCCTTTCTTCAACTGAAACTTGTTTTTTATATTTCTTGAATAATTTATGGGTGGAAGTCATTTTGCAACTTCGAATCAAAAGATGACACGTCAAGAAGAATAAATCACGAGTGGCGATAATGACAAAGTTCACATCATTCTTAAGCCACGTAGAGGGAGTTTATTATAAAGCGTTTATCACTATTCCATTAAGCAGTCGTAATCAATAATAAAACTACTCATTTCCAATTATTATGTTGTCATCTAAATCTAAAAATCTAAAAATGTTGTACCACTAACAACTATAGTCAACTTGGTAGTTCCGTCGATAATCAAATGCTTTTTTGGGGGGCTAAAGATACCAAATGTTTAATCTAGTATAAACTTGATTACGTCTGTCGTTTCAAAACCTGAACAAAAATATACACTTCATAATAGTCAAAACAGCTTAACGTAAAAAAAAATTAACACATGGGTTACATTGTTGGGACACATTTATTCTGACACGTTTCGATTTATTTTAGTACCATCTTGTTTCAAGTTCCTATAAATTCTAATTTTCTTCTAATAGACTAATATCCAAAACCATCCAAGCATCTAAAGTCTAAACCAAAACAAAACAAACAAACAAAAAAAGGAAACATCGACTAGTGGGAAAGATGGAATGCAAAGCTGTTGTTTCAATGTTCTTAATTGCATCTCTTTGTGCTGCCATTTCTGCCACTCAAGGAGTAGCTCAAATGCAAAACCCACCCATGTTCCCTGGAATTTTTCCTCCTGCTTTACCCGTCGATCTAGTGAAATGTTGGTCGTCTCTAGTCAATGTTGAAGGATGTGTGCTCGAAATCTCGAAATCCATTTTCTCTGAAAATTTTAAAAATGTTAAAACCGCATGTTGCAAAGCTTTTTCGACCTTAGACGCAAACTGTTGGCCTCATATGTTCCCTTTGAATCCATTATTTCCTCCTCTCCTCAAGAAAAGTTGTGCAGGCATCGCTCCCATCTCTTCGACACACAATTGAGAACAAGCATAATTGTTACTCTTACACTTATAGTTTACTCGTTAGCTTAAGTCTTTTAAATTTTAATGTTTATTTTTGCTGGCAAAGTGTGAGGTTATATCTTTAGAGAGTTTTCTATGTAGTAGGTTTTCTTCGATAAAGCAAAATTTCTAGCAATTTTTATTCAGAATCTCTGTTCTTTATGGACCGTATGTTCACCACTTACTCTTTGCAAACGACAGTTTGTTGATGTGCAAAGCTTCTGCTGCCGAAAGCAATGAAATTACCAGAGTCTTGAATCTTTATGGGCAAGCTTCAGGGCAGATGATAAACACAATAAAGTCATCAATCATTTTTGGAACTCGGGTTCCGAAGCAAGTCAAAAACGAAGTTAAAAATGCCTTGGGAATCATTAAAGAAGGTGGGGAAGGGTCTTACCTTGGTCTCCCGGAGAGCTTTAGTGGGTCGAAGATAAAATTACTTAACTTCATCCAGGAAAAACTCTAAAGGCGTTTAAACGGCTGGTTTGCAAAAGCTCTCTCACAAGGTGATAAAGAGATTCTCCTAAAACCAGTGGCTCTACCTCTCCCTGTTTACGCCATGTCTTGTTTTAAACTTCCGAAAAATTTGTGCGCCAGGCTCACAAGTGCAATGATTGAACTCTGATGGAGTAGCGGTAATAACAAAAGCAAGATATCGTGGATAGCTTGGCAAAAGCTATGTACTCAGAAAGAGGAGGGTGGCCTCGGTTTTCATGACATTGAACGGTTCAATTAAGTGTTATTAGGAAAACAAGCCTGAAAAATTTGGAGTCAACCGGAATCCTTGCTGGCAAGGCTAATGAAAACAATATATTTCAGAAATGGTTCCTTCCTAGGATGTGGAACGGGAACAAGACCATCATATGCATGGCAAAGCATCATTCATGGAAGGGACCTAATGAAACAGGGTTTGATCACAACAATTGGCAATGGCGGAGATACGAATGTCTGGTATGCTAAGTGGAATATGGATTCGATCCCAAGGACTCTGATGTATCATCCGACTAATCCCATAGACCTTACACTCACGGTGAAAGACCTACTTATCGGAGAAACCGGAATATGGGATGCACCCAAAGTCCGTAGATGCTTTGCAGAAGAAGATGCCAACCATATCTTGATGATTAAGGCATTCTCTCTGCATCAAGACTCCATCTTATGGAGGCTTAGTAAGGATGGTGCATACAATACACAGAGTGGCTATAAGATTTCAGAGACGCTGCAATCACTTCAAGGTCCTCTAGCTCATCCACTACCTCCTTTAGAAAAGCAGTTAGTGTAGCCGCTCCGATCACCCTCTCAGATTCAGATTTGAATCTTAACCCTCTCTTTCTTTCTCTCGTGTGTTTTGATTTGGTTTAGCTAATGCACTCAAGACTTATAGAGTTCCCCACAAATATAGTTACATCTCTCTTCAGGAGCGATCCTGGAATCCACTATATCAGTCACCGAGTTACAAGGTTTCTCGAGCTACAACAATGGAGGAAGAAGAGAACCAGAACAAGAAAGAAGAAGACTCGATCATCAACCGTTACAACCTTCTCTCTCTCCCTTATCCGTTATAACAACCTCTTCCATCTTGGGCCACTTCACCAAAGCATCTCGGCCCAACCTGTTTGCTTTTCTGCGTCTTGGGCCTTAAGCCAAAAGGCCAGACGAGCTGACTTAAGAGTTTGGACCAACTCTTCACAAAACTCCACCTTGGTCCTAACTCTCCGTAACCTTTTTGCATGTCGACACCTGACAACAACCTCCGTGAACTCCGCTCCTGGAAGCTGATGATCCATACCGGAATCGTCCCTTCTCACCACCGGAGAAGCAGCTGATCCGCTTCAATTGTCCTCACTTCGAAGCTTTCCTGCTGATTCAAACCAGAATAACAGAACTGAAACGTCACCTCTGCAGCTACCTGAGATGATGCCGCAGATGAAGCTTTAAGCTTCAATCACATTCAGCGACTGCAAGCAACTGCCAAACTTTTATCCAGGTAACACCTTCGTCAACATATCTGCTGGATTCACTGAAGTATGTATTTTTAGTACTTTCACTTCGCCTGAATCCACTACTTTCCTGATGTAGTTATACTTGACCTGTATATTCTTCGTTCTCTCATGAAACATATGGTTTTTAGCTAGATAGATCACACTTTGCGAATCACAATGTAGCTCCACCGCGTCTTGATTAAATCTCATTTCTTCACAGATGCCCTTTAACCATATTGCTTCTCTGCTTGCCTCTGACAAAGCAATATATTCTTCTTCTGTTGTTGACAGGGCTACCACCTTCTGGAGTTGGGGTCTCCAGCTCACAGTGTTGCCTCCAACCGTGAAGACATAGCTCAGTATCAATCTTCTCCTATCCAGATCAGCAGCGAAGTCTGAATCACAGTACCCCCTGACTTTGAAATCATCCTGCTTCGTGAAGGTTAGGCACACTCCTGATGCTCCCTTTACGTATCTCATTATCCACTGAACAGCTAACAAGTGTTCTCTTGTAGATTTGCTCATGTATCTGCTCACTAATCCCACTGCGTATGCGAGATCAGGCCTTGATCCAACCATCGCGTACATCAAGCTTCCCACTGCATTTGCTATGCTCTCTATCTCCATTTCTTGTGAAAGCTGCTGTTATGTTGTTACTGCTTGAAGTTTGAAGTGAGAACCCATAGGTGTAGCAACTTCTTTGCAACCCGCCATATCAAACGTCTTGAGTAGCTTCTTTAGGTACTCCTCTTGAGATAGGATTAGAATTCTTTTCTCACGATATCTGAATATGTCCATGCCTAGACTCCTCCTTGCTGCATCCAAATCTTTCATCTCGAACTCCGTGTTTAGAAGTTTCTTCAACTTATCCACTGATGTCTTGCTCTTTGACGCCACTAACATGTCATCAACGTACAACAGTAGGTAGACCATATCATCCACAGTAGACCCTTTTTTGATATACACACGGATTAAACCTGCTCCTTTTGTATTTCTGTTGAATCATGAACTCATCAAACCTGTGATTCTATTCTCTTGGAGATTGCTTTAGACCGTATAGTAATTTGTTTAGCAGACAGACTTTGTCTTTCTGACCTTTCTCTGAGAACCCCTCTGGTTTACTCATGTAGATAGTCTCATGTAGCACTCCATGTAGAAATGATTTCTTGACATCTAGTTGCTCTAGCTCAATGTCGTGATTTACCACCATTGACAACAGTAGTCGGATTGATACATATTTCACCACTGATGCAAACACTTCATTGTAATCAATTCCTTTGATTTGAGCGAAACCTTTTGCTACTAGCCTCGCCTTGTATCTAGGTTGTTCAACTCCTAGAATTCCTGGTTTTAATTTGAATATCCATTTACTGCCAATGACCTTTTGATTCGTTGGTTTGTCTGCCAAAACCCAAGTAAAGTTCTTCTTTAACGAATCCATTTCTTCATTTGCAGCTCGGTTCCACTTGTCTCCGTGTTTGCTCCTTTGAGCCTCACTGTACGACTTTGGCTCATCCAGCTCGATAGACTTAGCACAAGTAAGAGCGTAAGCAACAAAGTTCCCCTCTCTGAACCTCACAGGCTTCTTGAGCTTCCTTCCGTACCGATTTAGAACAACAGGTGAACCTTCCTCGTCATCTTCCTGATCTTCTAGATCACTCTGCTCTTCATAATCTGTGCAATCACCTTGCTCATCATCTAAGAAACTAACTGTGTTCTCTTGTACTGACACAGGTTCTAAAGTAGCTCCACCATGACTTGAAGATTCTTCTGAAGTATCTGAAGCATGCTCCACCTCAACCAAGTCATCTTTGAAGGTAACTCTCTTCTTAACTCTGCTTACTCTAGTACTTCCGTTTTATGAGATTTCTGTGTTTCTGTCTTTGAATAGAAGATCCTCGTTAAACACAACGTGCTTGCTGATTGTGACTTTCTGTTCTTCTATTAACCAGACCCTGAAACTTTTAGTCCTAGGGCATAACCCACAAATACCCCTTTTGTAGCTCTAGGACTTATCTTTTCAGCCACCGTATGGACATAGGCTATACACTCAAACCTCATTAAATGTTCGTAGTTGGGTTTATTTTCCGTCCATAGGGCTGGTACCTCAAAGTTGATAGACGATGATGGAGACATGTTTATTATATAAACTGATGTAGATGCTGCCTCGGCCCAGAACTCTCCTCCCAAACCAGTCTCATATAGCATGCTACGAACCTTATCCATAATCGTTCTATTCATTCTTTCTGATATGCCATTTTGTTGTGGTGTGTAAGGACACTTCTGATAAGGCCCGTTGCTCACAAAAAGGATAATAACTCGAGGCAATGTAATATTAAAGAACTTAGATGAAATGAGATAAGATAAGAAGAGAGATAGATAGAGAAAGGAAGATATATTAAATGTTTGATCTTCATAAGATAAGTAACCCTAATCGGGAACAGTGTTTAAATAATATTTGACACTACAATAATACGACCGTGCATTACAATATAACATGAAACCCTCTCACACACCGAGAGTCTTCTCACACTCTTCTTTCCTTACTTCGCGATTAGCCACTTTCGCCACTCTACTTCTTCTCCCACGCTCGAGCTCTTCTTCCTTTGGTGTGCTTCTTCTTCTTCATAAACGCTAGTGGGATCTTGAGCCTATCAATACTCTCCCCAAGAGAAGCAACCTTGTCCTCAAGGTTAACAGAAGAAAATTGACCTGCCAAACCAGAAAGCGATT